TAGATAGATAGATAGACAGACAGATCAATAGATCAATAGATCAATAGATCAATAGATCAATAGATAGATAGAATGCATGTTTAGATGTAGGTATAGATATAGAATGATGTAGTCGTAGATGTATATCTAGATTTAGATGTATAGATGTAGAGTTATATAGATGTATATACAGTTATAGGTATATGTCGATATAGGTATAGATACAGATGTAGATATGTAGATTATGTAGATATAGATAGGTGGGCAGCAAGAGTTCTGTAGTCATACAAGCCAAAAATAGCGTTGAGGCGCGACGCAAGACTTCCTCCACACACAATGAAGTGGAGCTGATAGGTAAAATGTTATCTGTTTGAAGCGAGAAAACCGCATACGGTATAAACCCCATGCCAAAAACTTGCACACTAAGCCCTAAACTTCAGACTGCACTCTGCACCCTGAACCTCGTCATAGATCCTTTTCAAGATCCCTGAAGGCACTCTTCGAAGGAACCTTTTTTTGAACCCAGACTCTGCGAAGGAACCTGAAACCCCACACCTCCAGAGCACCTCAGCAAAATGGAAGGTCCCAGGGGCCGCCAACATCAAGAACGATGGAGTCCGGCCTTTTACGGCTTAGTGGTTAGGCGGGTAGGGATTAGGATTGAGGGATTTCGGGTTGGAGGTCGAGGGTTTAGGGGCTTAGGGTACAGGTTCAGCCCTACTAAAAGACCATGGGGGCCTCGATATGTCGAACAGGGCTTTTAAGGTTTAGGGTTGGGGCCGTTGGGGTCTAGGGCTTAGGGTTTAGGGTTTAGGAGCACCTTATAACCATCTAGGGGCTATACGCATAGGCCTCGAAATTTAGCGCGTGGATGCTTAGGGTTAGGGCGTGGGTTGTCGGGTATAGGCTTCGGCTTGTGCGGGAGACATGCCAGCTGCACAATATAGGGCACCGGGTTCCTCCCGGTTCTGAACTGAATCAAGATAAAAATGCAAAACCCGAACCAGCAATCTTTAAAGCGGTCGTGCACAGCGAGACTTGCTGATGTCTGTAAAATACTCTTGAGGACATACCGAACTAAGACACCCGAGCGTCTAAGCAAACCTCAACCTAAGACCCGAGACCCCAACCCAAAATAATTCACCGATAGAAGAGGTAGCGCTTTCAGTATGTTGGCGGCCACGGTGAATGAAGTAGCCAGTCTTGTACATGACCCCATTGTCTGGTATCGTACCGTTAAAAAAAAGAAAAGAAGTATCGTACGATGCGTCTCACGCCAGACCTACTGACTGGCAAACTCTCTACCAGAAGAAAGCCTGGATCAACACCTCAAGCTCCGCATCCCCGAAACCCTACGCCCCGACACCCTGCAACCGAAAGACTCCTTTTCAAAGACCCACCGTAGGCCCTGAAAACCAAGCGGGCCAGAAACAAGCAACACCCTTCAACCGTAACCCGAATCCAAAAGTCTAAACACCTGAACCCTAAACCCCTAAACCATTGAAACCCAGAGCCCTAAAACACTTAAGCCAATAAACCCCCAAAAAACCTGAACCTTTCACCCGGGCCTTACAAATCGGCGGAAGATCTGGAAAGTCGACTCCTCCCACGTTGGGTACGCCGTCCTCCACCAGAACCTGTGGGGTCTACTAGCATGCTAGTAGTGGTGGTCACAGTTTACATAGGATTTCGTAGGCTCAAAATATGAATCCTTTTCCCTGTCTTCCCCGTCCATTTTACACTCCCGCTGACTGTCCGGAAACGCCTAAACCCTAAACCCTAAACCCTAAAAGTCCCTAAAGAGCAAGAGCAACGGCAGGAGCCGACCCCGGTCCCCAAATGTATTGGACTGGACCCCAAAACCCTGCGACCCTACATCTGAAACCTTCTAAACCCGAAAACCCTAAAGCCCAAACCCTGAACCCTGAAACCCTTAAACCCTAAATCCCTAAACCCTTACGCCCTAAAACCCCTAAACCCTAAACCCTTAAACCCTGAAACCCTAAGCCCGTACACCCTTAAACCCTAAACCCTAAAACCCTAAAACCCTAAACCCTAAACCCTAAACCCTAAAACCCTAAACCCTTAAACCCTGAACCCTTACACC